CAATCCCATTACTGGGCACCCAAAGGAATATAAATCATTCTATTATAAAGATCTATGTTGAAAGATACTAATTGCTGCATTTTTTATAGTAAAACACAGCAAAAACAGATGTGTATTTGTCCATTCTTGCATTGCTATAAAGAAATACCTGTACTGTGCTTCCTGTACAGGCTCATGATAAGAGCCTGTACAGGAAGCATAGTGCTAGCATCTTTTGCCAGCTGCCTCTGGGGATCCCTCAGAAGCTTACAGTCATTGTGGAAGGTGAAGGGGGAGCAGGCATTTCACATGGTGGGAGCAGGAGCAAGTAAGGGGAGGCACCACACATTTTTAAGCAATCAGATCTTGTGAGAACTCACTCACTATTGCAAGGATAGCACTGTGCCCTGAAGTATCTACTCCCATGATCCAGTCACCTCCCAATAGGCCCCACCTCCAACACTGGGAATTACAATTCAACATGTGATTTAAGTGGGGACAAATATTCAAACTATATCCTTCCATCCCTACTTCCCCAAATTTCACGTCTTTCTCACATTGCAAAATACAATTATACCTTCCCAATACAATAATCCCCTAAAATTTTAACTCCTTCCAGCATTAATTCAAAAGTCTTAAGTCTAAGTCCAAAGTTTCATCTGAGACTTATTTTCTTCTATGTGAGCCTATAAAATCAAAGCAAGTTATTTACTTCCAAGATACAATGGGGGTTCAGGAATTGGATAAACATTCCCATTCCAAAAGCAGTAATCAGCCAAAAGAAAGGGGGTACAGGGAGGGGTACAGGCCCCAGGTAAGTTTAAAACCCAGTAGTATACAAAAATTAGCTAGACTTAGTGGCAGGCACCTGTAATCCTAGCTACCTAGGAGACTGAGGCAGGATAATTGCTTGAGCCTGGGAGGAGGAGGTTGCAGTTAGCTGTGATGGCACCATCGCACTTCAGCCTGGGTGACAGAGCAAGACTCCATCTCAAAAACAAAACAAAACACAAACCAACAACAACAACAGCAAAAAAACCAGCAGAACAGTCATCTAATTTTAAAGCTCCAAAATTATCTTATTTGATTCCATCTCCCATATCCAGTGCATGGTGGTGCAAGAGGTGGGCCCCTTAAGGCCTTGGGCAGCTCCATCCTTATGACTCTGAAGAGTGTAGCCCCCATGGCTGGTTTTATGGGTTGCAGTCGAGTGCCTGCAGCTTTTCCAAGTGCAGGTTGCAAGCTGCTGGTGAATCTAAAATTCTTGGGTCTGGAGGATGGTGGCCCCTTTCCCACAGCTCCACTAGGCAGTGCTCCAGTGGGGACTCTATGGAGGATTCAACCCTACATTTTCCCTTCACACTACCCTAGTAAATGTTCTCTCTGAGGGCTCTGCCCTAGCAGCAGGCTTCTGTCTGGGCATCAAAGCTTTCTCATACATCTTCTGAAATGTAGTGGAAGCTGTGAAACCTCTTTCATTGTTGTACTCTACATGCCCACGGGCTTAATACCATGTGAAAGCAGTCAAAGCATATGACTTGCACGGTCTGAAGCAGCAGCCCAAGCTATATCTGGGGCCCTTCAGCTGAGGATGGAGTTGGAGCAGCCTGAATGCAGGGAGCAATGTCCTGAGGCTGCACAGGGTAGTGGGGTGGGGGGCTGTGAACCCTGGAAACATTCTTTTCCTCTAGACCTCAGGCCTGTGATAGGAGGAGTTGCTTCTTAGGTCATTTATACCCCAAACCTCAGCAGCATGCTATTTGCCCATGTTAAAAACCTTCACATGTACCCCCTGAACCTAAAACAAAAGTTGAAAAAACAAAAAGAAAATGTAAGTAAGAATTTAGAAAAAAACACAAGAAAATGGTTGAGTATTGTCTTGAATAGTAGAGTTTAGAGGTAGATATGACCTTTTTTATATGCTACCAAGCTATAAAAATGTTTTAGCAAGTGCATGTATTGCCTTTATAACTACTACCAAAGTAGTTGATAGATTTATAAATAGTTTCCAAGCATTAATGAGGCCCTCCTACTAAGAGGTCATGTCTAGCATTCTCAGAATTACTTCTGCTTACCTCTTCACCTATTCAGAGGCCTTCCCTCATTCTCCTTCCTTGATTCCCATGCTTAACGTACTTTCCTCTGCCTTATCTTAATCATTGTGTATCAAATTACTCTGTTTTATTTTACACATAACAATTATCACTGTCTAGGATTCTTACTTATCTGCTTGCATGTTAATTTCCTGCCTTCCTACGATATGTAATCAACTCCAAGAGGGAAGGATTTTGTATCTGCCTTGTTTAGTACTACCTCCCCAGCTGCCAGTAGGGTGCCTGATATATTTGTTGAATAACTGAATGAATTGAAAACAATATTAAAAAGAACCAGGGTTACATAGTCACCCATTTCACAATTGGATTTCCCCAAGTTGGACACTTGGCTTCATTCTTTATTCTTCCTTTGATACATCATGCAGTCAGTACCTGCTCTGTAGAAGAGCAACGAGCTATAAGGAATACCAAAATACAATAATGGTTATCCTGTCCTCATCAGCTTACAATTGGGTAGAAGAGAAACACAGGTCATTACTAGTCAGTTCACTGCTGGTTGAAGGGTCCTTGAACCAGGAGAGGTCACCCAGGGTAAGGTAGAGGGAAAGAGTAGGGTTCTTGCCTCATTAATCAGTTTGTCATGGGTGCAGTGCAGAGGAGTTTCTGCCCCTCTGTACTGGAAGACAGGAGTTCTGGAAACCTCCATTATATTGCAGCTCTGGGGATTTACCCCCATGCACAGAGGATTCTGATATGCAATCCCGCTTCTGCCAGGGTTTCTCTCCCATATGGTTTCTATGGTTCCCCCAAATCTCTGCCGCATGGGAGGGACTTCTGCCATGCATGCCAGCTGGCTCGTGGGCCCTGTTTTCTCACCTTATTTCTGCCAACCCTGTTTCAGAGAGCTGGGCCCGGTTCCCACTTTATCTAACCTTATCTCAGAGAGCATTCTCTGAACACAATCATCCTTACATGGGGAAAGGAACATAATCAGGATACAGCATCTTTCCAACATCACAGGATCCTCTGCCTGGAAATTTCCACTTTAAAGACTCACTTCTTTGGTTAATACATTGATCTCTTTTGGAATTGAAATGCTGCTGGGAATAAAAAAAAAAAAAAGGCACATTGTAACATTTAAACAATAGAGAGGGAAAAACAAAAATGTTTAAAGTTTCAGTGTGAATATATGAATCAGGCATTTGGCTTTTGGATTATAGGCTATCAGGAACTGACAGAGACCTCAGAAATATATGTGTGTGTGTATGTAAATTTTTACCCATTTCTGTTGTTTTTGCACAATAATAATACCCCTCAGAAAGTATGGTGGTGTGGCTAAGATAATAAGCAAGTTTCCTGAATCCTTGCCTCTTTGGAATTTGAGGGAGAGATCCTGTTGATGTTAGATGGAGATTCTTGGGCAGGCAGTTGACAGGCCAAGACACTGAGCACCTAGGTTGGTACTCACAAAAAAAGTTTCTGGTTGTATAGGAATTAAGGACTCAGATTCTGGTTAGAACAATATACACTTGACTCTTGCTTTGCTATGTGAATTGGGCAAGTTACAACATCTTTAAGTTGGGGTTTATATACTTATGACAGACAGATGGTAAAAGTACCTGATTCATGGAGTTGTTGTAAAGATTAAATGAGCTAAAGTAAGTAAAGCACATAGCAGAGTTCTTGCTTGTACTAGGTACTTGATAAACACTGGCTACTGACAATGAGGAGATTGTTAAAGGCAAGGCTTACCTACTTCATATTGCTGTGAAGGGCCCTCCTAACGTCAAGAAGCTGATCCAGCCGGCTGTCCTCTCATTCCTACTGTTTTTCTGCATCTTAATGTTCATAGCTTCGAAGTGAACTAGATGATTTATTCTGCCTACCGTCCTACCAAGAATATCTTGTGTAATATTATAAAGCAATTAATTTTAGATTGGGCAGTATGTCCTGGAGCATCTTCAAATCACAATATCTTTGGAGTACATGAAAGAGTTAGGGAATATGGGAAAAACAATGGAAATGTTAGGGATTTTATGACCTTTAAAGTTACCTCCTCCTGCCTATTTCCCGGAGATGACATGTGTTTTCACTGGTGAAAATGTAGCAACAACTGGGCTACTATGAACATTTGGATGACTGTTGTATTCCTTGGAAAGTACCCTGATATTTGGAGCATAGAGAAGGAACCACATGGTTCTAATATGCCATGTAATTTGATTTACCTCAAAGATCTGAGATGGATAGAGAGTTTTTCCACCAGACTTATCCCAGCAGAGGACATGGGTTCAGAACTTATGTCCAAAGAAATGAACTTTGTTATTAAAAAACAAAAATTCATGCTCTCAGAGGAAAAGCAGCCTCAGTTGCTCAGGTTAAAAGAATTGATCATGGATAATAAGTCATTCTTGTGGCTTTCCCAGTCACTTATTCCACTTATAACAAGCTCCTCTGAAGGTCCATGGAATTATCTGAGTTTTAAAATGGAGGTTCCCTAGCTCTGTCTACTAGGTTGGGAGTGGGGCCTTGAAATAAGAATTTTTAATAAGCACCTCTATCTGATTCAAGCTCATTTGAAACACACTTAGAAATACATTAATTGAGATATTGGCACATAAATCCCTGTGTCAGTTACAAAGCTGACACAATTTACCTTTTTCTTTTTTTTTTTTTTTTTTTTGAGACGGAGTTTCGCTCTTGTTCCGCAGGCTGGAGTGCAATGGCGCGATCTCGGCTCACCGCAACCTCCGCTTCCTGGGTCCAGGCAATTCTCCTGCCTCAGCCTCCTGAGTAGCTGGGATTACCGGCATGCGCCACCATGCCCAGCTAATTTTTGTATTTTTAGTAGAGACGGGGTTTCACCGTGTTGACCAGGATGGTCTCGATCTCTTGACCTTGTGATCCACCCGCCTCGGCCTCCCAAAGTGCTGGGATTACAGGCATGAGCCACCTCGCCCAGCCCACAATTTACCTTTTTCATATTCTTTACTCCTTTCTTTTTTTTTTTGCATGAGCCACTCATTTTACCTAGAGATGAGATTTTATTTTGTTCCCTAATAAGTTGAATAAAATAGAACTAGAAAATTTAGAAAGCAGCTTCTATTATCAAAATATCAGATTGATTTAAAAAGCCAGGTGTGAATAGTATGGTATAATTTTTGTAAGAAAGAATAAGAAATAAGAATACACAGATACTTATACACAAACACAATATGGATAACACAAAAACTAAATAAATAGTTTTATTATTAAGGATGGGTAGCTATAAAGTAGAAACAATAATAAAGGGAATGATACTTTTCTAAGTTTACCTTTCAATATAGCTTTTATTTTAAAACTATATTAATATTTTACATAATAAAAACTAATTTAGTAAGTATTCATTCCCAAAATTGAATACATGTAGAAAAACATGCTCAAATTTCAGACCAAATTTATAATGTGAACACAAAAAGCAAACCCATAATTAATTCAAGTAAATTTTAGGTACTGTACTAACCGCATTTCACCTTCAATGAGATATTTTCTAAAGAAAAAAAGAAACTGTTGTTAGTAGTAAAATGGTTTTAAATTATTTTGTATGCATTGTAGGAAGTAAACAAATGAGCAGGTATTCTGGTGTTTTGAGGGAATGGAGCTTTTGTTTTAGGAGAATAGGAAAAAAATATGGAAAGAAAGAGAACTCTGTTGTACTGGATTATAACTGGGGGTATGTGTATGAACTCATGACTTTATGAAAACATATTTACTTGCTGGTTACAATGAAAAAGTTTAGAAGCAATCACACTCAGTAGCAATGAATGTACCTATTATCCTGATCTTGGTTTCTAACTACCATTTCCCAAAGGAACCAAGGACCCCTGGAAAACTGTTTGATGTTAAGTAGGGGACAATGAAGTTCAAGGTGAGCCTGAGCATTGAGTTGCACCAAAAAGTAAAGCTGTGCTCAAACACTGATAGGAAAATGTCAGAAACAAAGAAGTCAGCTTGAAAGAACTTCCATTGGCCAAATTTGAGACAAATGCAATATCAAAACAGATAATGGCAGGAATGAATCCAATGATTCATAGTCATAGATTTGCTTTTAAAACTGTGAGTAAGCCCATAATGGTACCAAAAACAAAGTTGGTGAATGGAGAGAAGAAAGGAAACTTCATCTCTCTAGAAGCATAGCAAATCATAAATGTAGAAAGAATGTAAAATGATAAATTTCTAAGTCTGTCAATCATAGTTGTAATAATTCAAGCAAAACTCATCAAAGCATACTAAAACTATTGTATAAAATATTGGTCTTTATAATCATTTAATTAATTAACTATGTATTAATTTCAAAGGGGACATGGTGCATTTACAATGGAGAAATCTGGCAGCATCACCTTAACTAAATGATTATACTTACAATCACCAAGTTTGACAAACCGGCAACATATACCACCTGATGTGATGCACTAGAAAGGACATAACATTCTGCCAAAAATGTTTAACTTCATTCTAGTCATGAAGAAGCAATTAAATCCAAATGGAGAAACAGTCTGCAAAATAAATAGTAAGTTACAATTTTTGTAAGAAAGAAGAAGAACTAAGAAGACACACATACATATACACAAACATTTGTGAAAGGAAACAATATGGAGAACACAAAAGCTAAGAAATTGTTTAAACAACAAAAGAAACTACACTAGTCAACTAAAGAAATTTATTCCTCAAAAACATCAGTCTTAAATTGTAAAAAAAAAAAAAAGAAAAAGGCTAGACACAGCTCTAGATTTAAAATTACTAGAGACATGACAACTGAATGCAATGCATAATTCTTGATTGATTTTGCATTTTCAGAAGTTATAATAGACATTATTGGGACAATTTGGGGAATTTGAATGTGGAATGTATATTACATGACATGGTACAAATCAAGGTTAAAATTTCCTGAAAAAGATCTGCTCTGTTGTGGATATGTAGTAGAATGACCTTGTTCTCAGGAGACGACTTAATAGTGCACCAAAATGAGAGAAAGAAAATGTAACAGAATACCAACAATTTGTGAATCTAGGTAAATAGTATCATGTATTCATGGTATTACTAGAGCAACTTTTCTGTATGTTTCAAATTTTTCAAAATAAAATGTTGGATAAAGAAAGGAGAGCGCAAAAAAAAAATGAAGCTGTATTGGTTGCAAGCAGAACTGGTTGCCAGAATGTTGTGATAGACACCTTCACTTATCACTTATTGGGCTGGGCAAGAGCCTGCTAATAGGCACATTAATTAATTAATTAGCCTCTGCAGTTCGGCTTTCTTCCCATCCCCCAGCCTCACCAGGATGTACTTAGGTACAATAATGGAGGAGGAAAATGGAGAGTGTTCTCTGTATTACCATCTCAGAGGGATATTCCCGCTTCAAGCACCTCTCCAGAGGACTAATGGATGACAAAGCCTTATTACCATTCTGGGATAAGTTCAATTTTTTTTTATGATAGTAATTTGTTACACCAGTTTGCCACTTGCCTGCTGCTTCCTTGTTAATCCAATAATCTATATGAGAAAAGCAATTTGATGTCCCTCCTTCCCATCTGCCACCCATCAGCCAATCTATATCTTAACTATCAGTGATTTATTAATGGCATCTGCATTAAGCACATCCCTGCTCCATTTGCGCCCTCCTTCTTGGCCTCCTGCTTACGTACACTCACTGGATGTGTTAGAAGGTAAGCTCAGCATGGAGATTAAAAGCAACAATGAAATAGTAAGCTGAACCACAGTTGCTGGATTTGCTTCTTTCAAACAATTAACATGTATGCACACCCACACACTAAGCAGATCCACTTCAGAGCCAGCCATAAGAAATGCGAGAAACTAGGATATTTTTCATTATGCTTTCTACTCAGTGCTTAACTTTATTTCTTTAGCTGGTTGAAGTTAGTCATTGACCATTGTGCGCCATCTGAATGCTGCACTTCTCACCCCAACTTCCTGGCTGCCCATTCACATGAACTGAGGGTCTGCCTGAGCCCTGGATCCTGATTTCTTTCCTGCAGAGACAAAAGGAGCAGGTAGCCATGGGCTGGATGAGCTGATGCAGCTCTGAAGAAAGGACTTTGTTTTTGAAGATGTGAGCCTGGTCTCTGCATATTAGGGCATTACCTGTGATTGCTGAGCTTAATTTTCCTCAGGTCATTCTGGCCTACCTAGAAGATCAATGACTTTACATGACACTTCCAGAAGAGGGACATAATGGAATTGGGTGGGGAGAAAATGATGGCACACAGCAGTGTCGCTGTGTGTTATCAGTTAAATATAGCATTCACTTAGATTCTGTGCTATTCGTTACCTATTCGAAGCTTGATACACATGGCCCAACCTAAAACCTATGGTAAGAGAAGAAACATGGACACAGGATGGAAATCTCAGGAACCCACTTCTATTGCTATTTGCAGGTTCCACATAGTTGGAGTCCATGTTGCATAGTGGTTAGCTCACTGGTAAGTTTAAACTCTGGTTGTGCAATGTGCTACCTGTCTGCTCTATAGTAAGTTTGTGAACCTGTTCAAGTCTGTTACTTCTGTTAAATGAAATCCCTCTTGGCATCTCATAGGGTCATGATCAACGGTAATAATAATTAAATTATAAATGGTTGGTCTCCATTTCTCATCAAATGTAATCTTATTTTTACTTTGGTATTGGCTCCCTCCCCCCCTTTTTTTTAAACAACTTTTTTCTTTTACATTTGTGTCCTGGGTACATTTGCCGTGCTTTCTTGATTCTGTTTGCTTTGAGTTGGCTTTTACCTGGCTTGTTTGGCTGTTTTCAAGTTTCCATCCCCTAAGGGTTCTAATATCTCCATTCTAGACGGTGGCTCTGAACTCTCTCTCTCTGTCTGCTGGAGGTGAGCTGCCAATAAATTTAGAGATGCTTTCCTGAGCTATTATGTTTTAAGGAAAGGAAAGTGAACAAAAGGCAATCATCCTGACTCTATAGTCTACATTCCTTTCCTTCCTTAAAATCAAGGGTGGCATTTTAAGTTGTCATCCTCTCAAACTCACCTAGAAATGTGTCTGGTAAGACGAGAGTTCTGAACCTGATGTACTGTATTCCATTTCAGAAGTGTCTGCAACTCATGATTTTGCACAGCTGTTGTCGATACAAGTATTTTACCCTCACAACTAAATGCCAGTTGCCTAAGGGTAGGAGTTATCTGATTATATATCTATTCCCACCCATATAACTCAGCTTGGTGCATTGTACCCAGTAAGTGCTCAATAAATGCTTGTGGAACAAGTGACTATGGTGTTAACTTTGTGAGCAGGGTATTATATTTTGCTATGATTCCTTGTCCTGGAGTTACTTTCCCTCAAAACTCTGTTGTAAAACCTTTTCTGCTGTCCAAGAGTTTCATTTCTTTCTAAAGAAATCATCCCCCTCCATCTTTTCTTAATTAACAGCATTTTCCAGTACTTTTTTTCCCTTCTCTGTGACAGTTTCCCACTATTGTCTGTTTGCAGCTGTTACATGGTTAAGAAACTGAGTAGACATGCTAATGAGTGATTGGTGTGTGGGAGGAGCACCTCTAAATTCTCCTGGACTGGCCAGGCAGCCTGTTCCCACTTACTCTGTCTAAAATAAGCTCTAGTTGGCAGCCAGGGATTGGATTATTTGCAGTTTCTTTCTGTGGAGGAAGTTCTTGCTTGGACTAGCTATCTGTGTTTCTATTTAGGAACAAATAAACATGCTGCTACTCTCAAACTCTTCCTGTCTACACTAAACTTCAAATTCCCTTCTCCACTCTTGCTCATAGACTTGTCTAAACCACTGGAAACCAGCTTTGGTTTATGTGTTTATTTCAGTTAGTCAATTTAGCAAATTGTGTGTGTGTGTGTGTCAGGGTAGAGGGGCGGCTACGGTGGATAGTTGGTCCACATGCAGTCTCTTGCTACATTGATCTTAACTGTATTCTCTAAAAACTAAGAGACATTGTGTGACTGAATGGATTTTGGTCCTTGCAGTTGTCTTTACAACTCTTATGACTGAAATTGAACACCTTCATGAGGGAATTTTGAATACTTTATGATTGACTTTTTTTTTTTTCTTCCCAAGAGCTTCGAAAAAATGATATTAGTAGCCTGTTTTCCAAGAGAGGTTACAGAGGTGTCTGGATTTCCTAGTGTCTGGGATGATAATCTGTGGTACTAATCTGGGATTCTCATTCTGAGTCATGTATTTGAGCCAATAGGTAGGAATCAAGCTAGTTAATCCCCCTTCAGTATGTTTTGCAGCTGTTAGAATTTCATGACCGTTACAAAAAGACATGGAGAATCTCACTGATCAGAGAGCAAGCTGGAGGGAACAGGTAGGAGGCCTAGAGAGAAGGAAGGTTTTGAAATAGACATAGGGTGGTTGCCAGCTATTTTGCTAATAGGGGCATGGTCTCAATGGTAGAGACACTTTGAGCTTTCCAACCTATCCTTAAGAGTAGCCTTCTTTTCCCCTGGAACTTCTAAGGTGACTTTTTTTTTTTTTAAATCAAAGAATAGCCTGAAGGGGCCATGCTGAAAGAAGTGGCTCACATTAGACTTAAGATAGCAGGTTAAGTGCTTTCTATTTTGGTGGCTTTTCAGAACATAACCACTTTGTCCATTGAAGACAAGTAGACCATATGGAAGAAACTGGAACTGTGAAGTTTCTTTGACATATCATCTACCCTGCTGCTCTCTGAGTACAGAAGGTAACTATGGAAAAACACAAACAGCTCATCTATATCACTCTTTCCCTGAGGAGGTAGGAATAAGGGGCAATGTTAGATTATACATTCTTGTGCAGGAGGCTCATCTTATTCATTTTTATATCCTACTTCTTTGCTGGCTTGTTGTTCTCATTTCTACCCCTCTAATAAAGACTTCCAAACACCAGTATATATTTGTTTAGGGGTAACATTTAGCATTTTCCTAAAGTAATTGCATCCATTTTCATATGAATATATACCACAACAGTAAGAGGATTCAATTTGAAATTAGCACCAATTTTATGTGCCTAGAGCTATGGACTTCCTCAGAGCCTCAAAATATATAGCACCACGATATATTCCTTAAATTCTACTCCATGGCTCAGTTGTACCACTTATATCACTCTAAGTAAGTATTCAGGTTAAATTGCTGGTGGGCAATTAACGCTTTACTCATCATTTATCTCAGCTTGGGGAGTTCTTCACTGAAAGAGTCAAGATAAAAAGTAACTCTCACAGCTGGAGAAGTTAAAAATATGTGATGAGATAATCAGACTAATTGGCCAGTTCTGGTAATCAGTAGGTAACCCAATAATTTTGACATAGAAAACAAACAAGAGATTGAGTGGAGTAAGCTGATTTTTCCAATTAAGAAGAAAATATACCTTTATGATGAGGAGGCTGTTCTGGCTAGAGATACTAGATATTTTAATTTCTTTGTATTACATACTGATTTCACGCACAGACTGTGAAACTGGGTACAGATGGTTGGCTGAATTGCAGTACGTCTATAATGTAGGCTAACGTACGGAAAATATGGAGGGAGAAAACTTGAGAATATGTATCAGACTAGCTTGTAGTGGATGTTTGTGTTTCATCCAACGAGAGTGTGAATGCATTGGCATTGCTATTACCAACAATAAAATGAAGGTAGAAATATCAACAAACCCCTCCCCTCACTTGATACCATGTCTCTCTAGCTGTAGTCCAGCCTTTTTTGATCTGTTACCAAAAGAAGTCATAGCAGCGGTTCTCCATGTGTAGTCCCCCATCCAGTAGCAGCAGCATCCCCTGGGACCTTTTTAGAAATGCAAATTCCCAGGTCCCACGCCAATGGACCTACTTAACTAGACCCTCTGGGAGTCGGATACAGAAATCTGGTTTAGTAAGTCCTCCAGGTGATTTTGATGCAAATTAATGTTACAGAATCACTGGCCCACAACCTTGCTACCCATAATGTGGTTTGCAGATCAGCATCAGGGGAATCATTAAGAATGATAAAAAATGAAGACTCTTGAGTCCTTCCTTTTAGTTTGCATTTTTAACCAGATCCCCAGGAAATAAGCATGCCCATTGAAGTTTGCAAGTGCTGGTTTTAGTTATTATTCCCACCTCCTCAGCTCTGATTATACCCCATCTAGCTTCTGCCTGCTCCATTCCTGTGAAAATTCTCTCAGTACTGCCCAGTGACTTCCAGCTCTAACAGTGTATGGCTGTTTTTTCTGTCAGTGCTTGTATTTTATTTTTCTGCTTCATTTCACAGAGCTGCTCATTCTCTCTTTTGAATATGTACAACATATTTTCCTAAAAACTTTTATTATTGCTTCTTTGGCTTCTTTACAGATTCCTTATAATATTGCTAACCTCCTCCCACTTTGCCCATCAACCAGGGTTCTATCCTTAGCTCACAGTTCTAATTCTGTACATTTTTTCTTGGTAATCCCAGCTCATGTATTAATAATATCCAAGTCATTGCCTGCTGTTTAATTCCTAGTGAAACATTTCTACTTGCATGTCTTGTACTGCAAACTCAGCATTCAAAAAATGAAACATCACTGTTTCCCCTAAACTTCCTACTTTTACAGTCTGTCATTCACTTGTTGTCACTGTCATCTATGCAGTCACTTGAATTAGAAACTTGGAATTTATCTATGATTCTTACTTTACTCCTTGTCAAGAGTGGTAGTTGCCATCCAAGAGGTATTCTCCACTTCTTTAAAATAAAGGACCAAAATGTTTATTAGGGTACTTGGAATAAAGCCTGCATTTCCTAGCCTACCTCTCAACTAGGCTTAACTATGTGTCTCAGTTTTGGCCACTGAAATGTGGGCAGAAATGTTCTAGGACATCTTCTCTAATGACAGGGGGCGGAGTAGTTTTTCCCTTCCTTCATTCTTCTTCCTGTAACATGAAGACAATGATTCAGACTCCAGTAGCCATTTTTGATTGTGAGGAGTAAGCACCACATCAGGGAAGACACAACAAAGAGATGGAAGAAGGTGTGTCCCCAGTGAGAGTAGAGGCAGTCCCAGACTGACTTCTTTTATGTGGAGAGAAGTACACTTCCTTCTTGTGTACTAGTTTTTTTCAGGCTTCTGTTCTCATAGTTGAACTTACCCTGAGCAATATAAAACCCCTATCTAATTATCCGCAGACTTACTGATTTTACCTCAAACTATGTTCCAAATCTATCTCTTTTTCTCCATGCCTTTTAACCCAGCCCTTGTTTAGACTCTAATCTCTGACTCAAATTACTAAAATAATCCCTAACTGGTATTCACATCTCCAGTTTTTTACCCCTCAAATTCATCTGCCATTGACGTGAATAATCTAAATGAAAAATCTCATCTTACCATTTCTTTACTTATAGCTCTACTGGTAATTTCCTTTTTTCAAAAGAATTGCTCTTCAGCTTATTTCCTATTAAATCCCTGTGCTCATTGGGTTCCCAGTATTCCCTTGGATTTTCATAGATCCATGTTGTTACCTTCACTCTAGAATGCCTTATCACACTTCTGCCTGGAAGAGATTGTCTTTGTTATCCTTCATGATGCAGTTTAAGGCTCTAGCTTCTTCATACAGTGGTGACTAGTCATTTCAGTTTTGTACCTCATAAGCCAAAAATTAAGAGTGTGCAAGCAAAATTTAGGTATGTTTGTTTATTCACAGTTATATACTTGTACTATTATACATGATTTATATATACATTATAAAATCTATACAGAAATAGAAATAAAAAATAACCACAAGTTTCCAAGTTTTATTTTCACATCTATGAATTGGCTTATGTCTCTTGGGATAAGAGCACTAAATTTGGTAGACCAGTTTCACTAATTTGCAATGTCTTCTAGGATAATCCCTACTTAAGCAGAATTGGTTATGTTCTCTTTTATACCTCTATAGTAATATATATTTTTTACCTGTTTCTTCTTCTAATTTACAAGACCTTTTATGCAGGGGCTATGTCTAATTTATTTATGTATCACAACCAACAATTGTTTCCTAGGTAACATTCTAGGTGTTGGGATTCAGCTGTGAATTAATCAAAGTTCCTGACCTCACTTAGCTTGTATTTGGGTTGGGGGATAAGATGGGGAAACACAGATAATGAACAAATAAATAAATGTAAATAAAATGCTAGATGTGATCAGGTCAGTGAAGAAAAACATTATAGTGAAGTAATTTGAAATAGACCTGAAGTGAGGCTCTGAATGGTTGTCTTGTCCCTGTTTAACACCGCCACTTGATTCATCAAATAGCTGTGTGGTTCTCTTCAGATTCTTAAAAAAAATATCTTTCTATCTCAGCAGGAAGTATGAATTTGTATCATTGTGATGAACCACTTAGAGAGGCAGGTTTATAAAACATCAGTTCTCCTTTCTCCATTGCTTCACTTCTTTTATTAGAAAGCTGGGGCTACTTAGTGCTACTACTGCCTACATTAATCACTACTTACTTGACACCTATCCTGCTCTGTTGCTAAGAAGTTCCTTTTGCCTACTTCTAATCCTGCTTCTCTAATTTTTGTTCTGCACCAAGCTTGTATGCAAATCCTCCTCCCCAAATCTGCCTCCCTGTTCAGTTCAGCAGTGGGCATCTAAAAGGCCCTTTTAGGCCAGGAGCAGTGGCTCACATCTATAACCCCAGCACTTTGGGAGGCTGAAGTAAGAGAATTGACTGAACCCAGGAGTTCAAAACCAGCCTGGGCAATATAGGTAAATCCTATCTCTACAAAAAATTTAAAAATTAGCTGGGCATGATGGTGCACACCTGCTGTCCCATGTACTTGGGAGGCTGAGGTGGGAGAATTGTTGAGCCCAGGAGTTTAAGGCTGCAGTGAGCTGTGATTGTGCCACTGCATTCCAGCTGGGGAGTTAGAGAGAGACCCTGTCTCTTAAAAATAAAATAAAATATAAAATAGAATAAAAATGTTCTATTCACCCTCAACCAGTTCCTTCCCCTCTGTCCTTTGTGGACAAATTTCTCTTTGTCTTCAAATCTTTCCTCAAAGTCTTAGCCATTTGGCATTTTCTTCAGGGATACCACTTCTCTTCCAACTCTCCCTGATGGAAACCGGCCAGTTTTTAACTCCCTGTCTCTTATGACCAGAAGAGATTAGTCAAGCCTTCCTTCCCTGTGGCTACTTTTCTGTTTACTGTCCTATAGCAACATCTTTTTCATTAAAGTTCTTCCATTTGATTATACTCTGTTCTTTCTTTCCTTTTAAGAAATCTACTTATAGCTAGGAAACCTTTCACCTCCAAGTTCAATACATGACTCACGATTGTTGTTTATTTATTTTTGTCTAGCACATTTCTCATGATTTAGTCCTTTGCAAGACTTAAACATTCATATGGTTGGGACTTTATAATAAATGCCTTGACACCATACACCATACTTCTGTTTCTTTGAGTCTTGTTATTTCATTCAAAATTGTCACATACTCGTGATCTTGAGGTCCAGATTTCCAACTCTGATCCTTCTTTTCCTTTCATTTCATTTGCATGACTTGTTCCTTGTCCCTATGACCTCCAGGCCCTCAACTCATCTTCTTTTCTGTAAGCTCTGTTCTGACCTCACATGCCTCCCTCTCCAGCCTATAAGGCATGGTGGGTTGTTTCAATTATACATCCACTGTCATTACAGAATCTCCTGGCCAGGTGCAGTGGCTCACTCCTGTAATCCAAGCACTTTGGGAGGCCAAGGTGGGTGGATCACCTGAG